GGACTCGCTGTTCTTCATCGAGCTACACCGAGTTGGCCTTACTGGTGCGATTGAAACTTCACAAACTGAGTTTTAGCCAGAATAGCCCATAGGATCATTGCAGCACAAAAGCCCGAACTACCAGACAATGTGGCATCCTCAGGCTGGGTCAAGGCTTACTTCACAAAAAGTGAGGACTTAACCCAATCGGCGTAGCAGAATAAATTTGACAATGTCAAATAAAACCGGTCACTACAGAGGAGTGATGGGCACGCTCCATCGATGTCTATTGGTGTATATTCAGATGCTTAACCATGTTCCCCTACAAGGATTCATCCTTGCATTCTGTAGAAGTGATGTTGAAAGAATAGACCTCAGGTTATTCTAATCTGTCGTGAATAACTCCAAAAAAGTGTCGACATTTCTTATACACTAGGGCCACTTTGGTCGACAAAGCATGCTATTGGCGGAGCAACAAAAGGATTTATCGCCGATATTTCACACCCCTCTATTTTGCCTTGCACAACAACACAATCGATATCGGTTACCGTGGACAGTGGTAAAATTTAACGATGTTGAACGTCTGCGAAACTGTATTACGTCTGGTTGGATCTACACCGGACTTGAACCAAAACGAATTTAGTGAGACTGACTGACAATATAAAACCAAGTGTAGCACTTATAAACGAAAATGTTACGGAATTCAAGTAATCTGACACGGTAGTTTCCATAACCAACTGATAACCTCTTTCAACTCACCTGATCTGACTCCAAGTGCTTCGACAAAACTATTACCCAGCGAATTTCCAGCTTAGCTGCTAAACTGATCGCCCTCCAAAAATAAATATTATTGAAAGGGAATTTTTAGTAAACGCTGGATTATTATGTAGCCACCAGTCGTATTAGGCAGGGTAGAGTTGGATAACAATTGGCAAAAGTGATAAGAGTAAGCAATAAGGAATGACGGGAATTTTCAAATGATAAATAAAACCATTCAAGCGGTGCAGAAAACACCAGTGTAAGAATAAATCTACCCTAAATAATAAATTCTATTTCTCCGCTCGTTTTGAGAAAAATTCTCACTAGTTTTGGGTTCTACACCGCAAAATTTTTCGTTATAATGTGGAACCACACCGAATCCGATTTGGCCACGTGCGGTCATGATTGGAGTCAGTCGATATTTTTGTCTAGCTGCACCTCAGTTTTGTATAGAACGTGTGTATGCTATCATGCTTTTAGCTACTCGAAGATTGTCAGTAATATAATGCGTGACGAACGTCATGAGTGACAGCCGCGTATCCACGAAATTATGGCAGGCGCAGTGAATCGTTATACTAGGGTCTAATAAAAATTGATCGGGTCATTTGACCACATGGACTGATCCTTATGGATGAAATTCTTATTGGTGGAAAATTACCTGTCATTTTTAGAAGTCATCTCTTTTGAGAAACGTGCAAGAATTCTGTAGTACTTTCGTTTACCTAGGGTAGGAAAATCAACAAAGTGCTGTCACCGTTCCGGAATGTTAAATAATTCATTACGCGTCTTGTTTGCGCCCCCAACAATGGACGTGGGTCAGTCAGCTAACCAGTCAGCCACAAAACGTGCAGCGAAGCACAGTGGAGCTAGCCGTTAGTTTATCATTCATCGAGTCTGAAAACAAAAGGAAATAAGAGACGCGCGCCTGAAGAGACGGCTAACTACTTCACTGAGATTACATTCTTCCGTTTGTCAAATATGATACGGAATAGGAGAGCTGCAAAGTGCAGGTACACTATCAGTTGCACGACGTATTCATGGCTGTCAAGTTGTCTCTCGGGATTTCCATCCGGAGGCAGCAGTTAAGATCGTAGTTGAGTTGCCAATGGCTTTTGTGGTTTCATGAAAAGTCATGAACGAAGAGCTCGTGCATCGCTTCTACTCGACAAACGGCTTGGCAAAGAGGGCTCTGCGAGACACACGTCCTCCATCACACGAAGTACAGGCCTATCCAGCTTAAACCACAAAGGGTGACCAACTGATCTATCGGGAGAGATTTATTTTTCCCAAAAAACATTCGGCATACTTCAGCGTCACTGATCTGTTGTCCTTATAAAACACACACAATCGTTTGAAGGCGCTGACAACCAGACTCAAGTCTTCGGTGAGTATGTGCACGCAACGGTCCAGTCTCTGATTCATGGACATCGAACCTTGGTGGTTTACATTTTATCTTTGACAGCCAACTTGATATCACGTCAGAGCCGAAAATGTCGGAGGACAACAAACATCTCCCTCGCCTTCTCAATAAGGTTGGTGTTTTCGTATTCCGCTAGTCCACTAGAACCTATGCAAGTAATATTTTGATCCCGAGGTTTTTTAGAGGTAGATGAAGAAGAGCTACGGAGTGCATTTTTGTCTGACACTACTGTATATGTCGAACTCAAAGTGGAGTTTGTTGTAGACGCTTGCGCGTCTACCGCGGGAGACGCACACAGAACCTTTGTATGAACCAAGAAATTTGAAGAGAAGCCTTTCATCACCACACGATGCCTTTCTTCTGGCGATTGACAAAGTCGAAAACGGTCTTCATGTGGGACTGCTGTTCGCCGAAAAGGGCGGCTCATTTTCAGCACTTGTTACAAAGTGATGATGTGAGTGATACAACTCGTCCGATCGAAACCGAGACTGATCACGGTGAATCTGCCTCTACTGGTCCTATGCGTAATATGTTGGTATGGCGGTCTATTTTCATACATTCTGATCTGAACTCCGAAATTCTAACAGGAATGCGGACAAGTTACTGTGACTTCATCGGCATATGCCGGATGAACCTGCATGTCGTCTGCACAGGCAGTAGTATGCGTACTGTTAGCAACGTGATTGGTTCGTCCAAACCCTCACATGGCAAACCAACACGTTTTCTGAAACATCAAACATGTAATTGATGTCAAATCAAGGAAAATAGGGTGATATCTTGAATATCGTCTCAAATGAAATACGGGCGTCCTTGGTTTGTCGTGCTCTTTCGATGAAACTCATAGTTTAGAGGTTCACATGACTCTCTCGTTAACACTGTTTGGCATGGCAAATGAGCATCACTCATCGAACTTTACGTGTTTGGGAACCGCTCACATACATAGGTAGTTATGTTGATCATTTTCGAGAAGCCTGTAGACTTGACTGTTTCTCAGGTTGTATAGGGATTGACCAACTCATCTGTTTGCTGCACCAACCGTAATGGGCGTTGTTCTGACTCGAAAGCATATCCTGCCCAAGACATCCAACTACAAGACATAATCAAGGCAGCCCAGTATGGTGATACATAACACGTACTATATTTTATGTTTGTTCTAATCACTGTATTCATCGGTAAACACTCAGACTTCTATCCAGATGAAGCGTTGACTCCACTAGACAGGAGTGCTTACTACCAAACCGTGTGCTTGAAAAGCAGTGAGATTTCGTTCACTCGCCCATGCACGATTCAATGAATTATCCAGCTAATTGTTCAACCAATTAAATAATGAAGCAGTCAGGCAATCAAGTAATCAAACCAAGTCGCTGGTAACCAGACGCCTTTACAATGCTCCTCAACTAGATGTCTTTCACGGGAACGGATTTGTGTTTGATGTGGAACGGTATTCAGGATATCTAAGTATTTTTGTTGAAGGCTGTGTGACCTCTAACTCCTATTTGTTCACAAGTTTCCACCAACTTTGTTCCCTTCCTGAACGTCTACTTTGAAAAAATGCGAAGGCCTACAGGGTCCAAGCGGCACAGCTGCAGACGCTATGCCTTACTGATGATCTTCAAAATGAGTGAAATCAGTAGTGGGTCATCCAAAAGTTTCTACTAAAGCTATAAGTAGTATTGTAGCCAAGTTTTACTGCCAATTTTTGGCGGAATCCGTAAATGCTCCAATATATGAAACCTTTCATCATTTCAGATGAGTGGTTAGCAGTCGTAGGCCTTGGGGTTGGCTCTCCACCCTTGCTTGACTTCCGAGGCTGTGTGGTAATATTTTGTGTTTGTTCTGATCTACAGTCATTCCCACTCGTAGTTCTGTGGACCCCTACACTTTACATACTGTGAGAAGACACAAACTGAAGCTATTGTTAGCTGATGACTGAACGAACAAGCAGTTGCCACATCCCGTGCAGTCCTTTCAGCTAGCAGCAAGTCCGCAATCTTGCTTTCAAAGTGAGCATCTTCCCGAAAGAATGATTCTTAGACGGTGATATTTGAATTCTGACGTTTGCGGACGGATAACTGGTTTATCCAATCTCTAGTCACGGTTTTATCCTGCGAAGTCACTTCATATCGGAAACCGGGGGGCACCCTTCCCACCCCCCCATACTGTTTCTAATCGTTATCAGCGCACATCTCAAGAATCTCATGAAACTACGGTTAGTGACTCAACGTTATTTTGTTTCGAGCACAACTCTGGAAACGATCAGTCCGGTTAGCCTGCAAATTTCACAGCGTGCAGCATCACTAGCCTTCGCCGAATTCGACACTATCGAAAATAGCCACTACAAGCGTGCACAAATGCTTACCAGTCTCCAGTCGGGTGTTGTTAACCTATTTTGACCACTAAAAATAAGCCAAATGTACTTGTCGACCAGGCCCGTCAAATGTCACGTCAGTATTACCGGACACATTATTCCGAATGCATGTGTAGCCCCTCCATCGCTCGTATTTCTGTCTTCTGTCTGACGCGAAACTCTCTGTGTTTGTGTCCCAAATTGCATGTTTATAATAGTATCAGATGTGGGAGTATGTTTAAATACTTCTCCCTATTGTCGAAACCAAAGCAAACGTCTGCAAATTGTGTGCTGCATGACCGTAAAATGTCGCCGAAACTTGTTGCGCCTCACGTCACTACTAGGGACATTCGAGAGGGTATCCATCAAAGGACAGTTAGCGGAAGAAAATGGCTTTGTTGTTTATTCCGGGGAAGTCTTGATATTCTCGGATATGCTCTGATCAACCAATCCAGTGTCAGGAACACCCGGATGTCAGTATACATATGCTGGAATTGGGAGCATGCCCAGGCGTCAGTATGTTGTCAAAAACAGTGTTGATTCTCTCTGTAGCATTTATGGACTATTTTCTCCCCTATTCTTAAAATGACGTTCGTTTAACTTACGTCTGGTTGCGAAACACGAAGGAAATCGGGTTCGTCAATCGGATTTAGAACTTTTTGATATGTGGATGAGAACAATTCGTGCTGAGACTCCCACGACATGTGTTGAGCAAGTCCCGCGATTCAATGGCACCTCGAGTGCCCACCTGGAAGAAGGTCATGGACAATTGACAGTAAGGGCATTATCAAATGAAATGGGGCCCGCACTTGCTTGTTTGCGAACTGGGTAAGTTTGCTACTAGCAGGTTGTTGCGTGTTCCATGACTTCGAGCTGGATCGTTGTTAGCAGTACACTTTTAAGTGGATCGCGCTCAGAGATGGGAGGATTCCACTGAGAATCCTCTAGCAAAAGAAATCTTATCAAAACTTTCCTACGTAAGCTTCTCTCCTGGACACACTATTTCCACTGAGCAACGAAAGCCCTCAAAAGGAATGTCTCTTTGGTGTCAGGGGTTATATTTTTTGGTAGACAATGTTAGGAGAGTAAAGTCATTGTATGCTGAAAAGCCGAGAATTGCTCTACGACGGTTTGTTTCTTCCTGAGACTCATCAGTAGTGCGTACCTCACGAACCTCCAGGAAGATCCGAACTCTTAACCTCCTGGCTAGAAGTTAATGGTCAAACTGCTTCTTTACGAGCGGTCGATCAGAAGTTTCACCAACTAGCACTAGAAAAGGATTTAGTGCCACTTGTTCTTCAATCATGGGATTCGCATCACGTGGTCAAACCTCGACTGGCTCCTAGAGGGGTGACTATTCAGTTTAGCCCTTAGCTGCTAGCCGATAGGTTGTGAGTGCGACTCTCTTTGAAGTTTGATGGGGTGCAAACTAATAGTGATTCCTAAGATGATGAAACAGCTAAACGGCGGTTCTAGGCTTTTTGGTATAGATTGACTTCACTTACACAACAAAAAATCGATTTAAAATCTCGCTCATTCTTTATTTGGATTTTCCTAGGCCACAGTTTTACTCTGTTTTACGGCGAACCAAGTGCACAAATGCACATAGCGTCCCTGACTTGAGTTCATCCATGTGAAACTCAAAAAGTGCAAATATTGTCCTGTTTACCTTGGCTTTCCGTACACGGGAAATGTGAGCATACTATCTAAAATACTGATTACCCTACCAGGGTGACATTTCGATATTTCTTTTGTACAAAACTGATAAGGAATTTGTTGCAGTTTCACTTCATTCAACCGAACATGACTTTTGTTAGTATCATGGAAGACGTGTTTGGTGGCAGCTGATACATTGAGTGTTGTGAGTGCACAACGACTCATGTGGTCTGAAGATAACCACCCATCCACTCAGGCATTTATATTACTTGTCATTCTATCATGTGAAATATGTAAAGCAGATACGGTGAATTCCATCAACCGGAATGTTTGTATGTCGATGACGAAACAGATGTCAGCTTTCAACTCAGACCAGTTTAATACCCACCAGATACAAATAGCTCGCTCATTCGTCGATTGTTTCACCGGGAAATGGCGTACGTAACCCAAACTACGTGAGTTTCCTAGGGAATCTTATGCAACGAGTTTCAACGAGCAGGATATTAAACCGTTTTCTTATTTGGTGTACAGGTGCTAGACGATAAGTATTCAGTAGTGTGAAATCAAAGGCACACCAATTTTCTTTTCGTTTTGTAGTTTAGTGTGAGAATAAATCGATGTAGATAACGTGTTGTAGGTTCGCATAGTTCGAGTACTCCTCACATCAAGACATTTTTTTAAGTTAATTCCATCTATTAAGGTGTTCGAAAGTAAGAAGTTGTTATTATTTGTAGATTTTCATTACTCATGAAGCGACCAACATTGAAAAATCTGGAATGTAATCCCCACAAGACAGTTGCATTATACTGTCGTAACATTATTGTGTGAATGGGCAGACGCGCTCCTGATCCAAATGACATTCGGTTACCCTTCTAATGGTTACTGGGATTTGTGTACCGTGACTGACAAACCTGTGATACTAACAGCTTGATTGCCCGAGTAATCATCGATCTGAATGGGCAGAACTGCTGTTGAGTCCCACATGTCCCGACAGGTATTTGGTTCTGATATGTTACCAACTGCATGAGTTTACGGTCAATACAAATCAGTACACTTGTGGTGAAACACCGTGTACTATTGTGTCATCAGAAACCCCATGGAGTTGTCTATCAACAAGCGTCAACATGCGTTTGCTGCCTTCATCATCATTCTTTAAAAGATCAGGCGGACGAAAAAAGGACCGTTCTATTCGTAATGCACTACTCATAAGGTTGCTGAAAACTCGTCGACTGCCCAGGATTGGTTTCGCCCTTCTTGAGGCTCGTCAGGTAGGCGCAGTCCCCTATTTTCCATCAACTTCATGTGCTACTTGAGACCAAATCGCACGAAATCAGCAAACTAATTTGGTTTTGTGAGAGACTAACCTGGAGCCCAAATAAATCTCTCGTTTAAGATGTTTCCAGGCAGCTGACCGTTTTACTTTCCGCTACGTGTCCGGTAATATCTCTACGCGGCTCACATATACATCCACGTGGTGCCTTGAAGAGTTCTGTCTTCGAAAGTCAAAAACCACTCGTTGAGTTATCCACTGGCTTCAAAAATAATCCTTTTCTTCGCCGAGCCCCTTCGCAAGACTCAGCTACTTCACCATATTGGTAAAAGTCAACATTTAAGTACAGGTGATGACACGCTCAAATTCGATTCCCTGAAAGAATTCCATCCACTATGGACAACCGAAATTCACGTGACCAGAAAACACTGTTCGAATTGAATTTTTGTAGCCCAGAGAATGTCCAGCCTTAGCCCGTTAGACTCGTGGATGCTTCCAATAGAGTAAAAATCAGTATCCCTTCCATTTTTGGCACAATCTCTGAAGGGTGCTTACGGAACTCCATGTCTCGAACGATCAGCTGATACTAGTCTGGTCTCTCCCGGTCCCTCTTCGGCCCTATCGGATAGATTTTGAAAAATACGCAAATTTATTGCACCTGAAGGTGCAATAAATTCCCAACTTCCCAACTACTCTAGTCTGGTGCATGGTAAAATTCGACATCTGTATGATGAACTTATTTGGTTAAATTCACATCATCCTCAGTTGAACACTCCCGGTCCTGTTACTCTAGAGGAGCACCCAAGTAGAGTTTTGCTGCTGTGAAGAAACTAAACACAGTCAGGACGAATTTATCAGATGATGCGGAAATTCATTCAGTGAACTGAGGCAAAAGTTGGAACGGTGTTGTGAGATACCAAAAGCTTCAACCTCACAGGCGCTTTTCTGTTCACGAAGTCGCATCAAAAATAAGACGATCAGACATGGACAACGGTCCCAGAAAGTTTTGTGCTGCGGCATGCAAATTACCAATGAGCACTGTTTAAACCCCATGAAGTATGACTGAGTCTCACTTTGTCCAAACAAAATGGGGCAAAACGGAGCGATGTGAACCGATTCCACGTGGTCGTGAGACAAGTGGCAGTACAAATTGTGGGATTAAAACTTGACGTCGTTATGCCATCCGTATCCGAATGGTAATTTTCAAATAGCATCCGGAATATAAACTTCCGGCTTGCGATATTCACAACGTTTCCTAGTTTCCCATTTTCTGGTAATTTGACCAGCTTCCGCTTGTTGTCATGAACACTGTTATCTTCCCAGAATCTGCCTAGTGGGGGGAAAGTTAAACGCATTTCAACCGAATCGTTAGCTATCCTATTCCAGAATCCACTTGCCTGTTTTTCATGAGATCATCTGTCAAGGTTTGTTAAAAATTGAGCATGGTGGGACGTCCAGTTATCCTGAGGTGGAATAGACTCAAGCAAATTTCGGAAAGATGCTGAAATTTCCATGACAGGGTCCAAAATATAGGACATAATCCTATAGTTTAAATGTAACCTATTGAATAGAGGCTTAGGATCAGTACGTTTGAAAAGACCTGTTTGGAAGAACCACTCTTGTGTTATCCAAAGGAATACTTATTGTGCAGAAATGGAGTTGGCAATCGTCTTGAACAAGATGAACGTCACACTCGATCAATCCTTCACTGATTGATGTTTCAACTGTCACACTATGGGTCGATTCTCCTTAGTTCGTGCGGCGTTTTTCTTCCAGGGTAAACAAAACATCTTGACATACAGCATTGTACAAACTAGCTACACCGATGTGTATGCTTCTGTTCTAGCCAAAACCCAACGAAACCTGATGATCTTTTGCCCATTTGTCCACCTTTTTTTCTGTTTCATGTCCCTTCAAGTTAATAAAACTATCTTTCAAGTAGGCAAGATGTCTCAAACAGGCCTTTACTTGATTCCTAGGCGAGTTGCCTTAGCGAATAAACCGGTAGTTGCCATCAACGATAAGCTTTAAACTTCACAGTTCTTTCCGTTTTAGAGAACACGATGCTCCGACGTCTGAAGAAACGTTGTGCGAACGCTGTCTAGAACCGTTTCTATCCGCCGAGAACATTGTATCCTACCGAGACGGATTATTTCACCAAAAGTGTTTTGTGTGAGTCTTGACTTGTAACTAATTCGTTAGACACGTAGATATGAAACAGCCTAATATAAAAACAGATTTAGCCTGGTTTTACATTCACCCTACATAGTGCACACACACGCGCACAATGGGGATAAAATCATCCCCCCTAAGGAAGTGTTAACTGTCAGGGGAGGGATAAAGCTGAACCAACTTGTCGGACATTCAAAAAATACAAAGGCTTGGTCAGTGAAAAAAATTCATCCGAACATGGCTAGTTCAGTTCCACTTTGGGCGTTTACAGATCACCCGCTACCGATCAATTGCAGTCCAATGCGACCTTCCTAAGCTCCTGCCAGCATCTAAAAGCAGTATCACCATCCAACTGATGGTCAAGAACAAATTGCAGACAGAGAGTAGTTACGCAGTTTTGGCCTCGAAAATACAGGGTGTCTCATAATAAACGCAAAAATTTATTAAATAAATAAAAGAAGTTAATTGAAAAAAGGATAACAAGATTTTCCATTATTATTAGCAATATAAAGGAGAAGTTTTGTGCAAGTTTTGATATTTTTACTTCCGATGAATGTTAGTGCGTGCATTGAGACGGCGAAACTCTACTATTCCTTCGGTGAAAGCACTTCGTGGTTACAAAACCAAACATGGTCACACTGGGTCGACCATTACACGCTTGATTGCAAAATTTGTGTCCACTGGATCTGTATTGGATTTTTCTGACAAAGGGAGAAAGTCTCTGAGTGATGAAAGAGCACCCATTGCACAGAATGCCGTCGAGCAACTTCAGTCCCAGAGCACCATGGCATTTTCGTCAATAACTCAGGTGTCTCAGCTGACCGGCAGTCTCCGTGCCAGCGTGCATTGTATTGTGAGACGCTACGTTCATCTCTGCCCGTATCATTTCATTTTATCACAAAACATCACAGAAGAAGACGAGGAGCAACGTGTCACGAGAGCAATTTTCTGATGAGAGAGTCATTGCTCGTGGATTTCCAAACATCTGGCCCGCAAGGTCACCCAATCTCACGCCTCTGGATTATTGAATTGGGGGGATGATCAAGCTTCGTGTATATCATGAAAATAAACCGAAGAACTTGGTGGAGTTAAGGGCGAGGATTGTAGAGGAGTGTGCGCGAG